GCCTAGTGGGGAAGGAGAAATGTACTTAAACACTGAAGGCTTTCCTAGGACATGCTTTACACCTTTGAGCAGAAATAAAGGGCAGGTTCTTTAGATTGATCATTATGGATTAGTCTGACAGGTGGCAATGTGCATACGGGCATCGACAGCAAGTGCATGAGTGTATGAGTGTGTGTCACACAGTAGGGAACTGCGTACCTGGCAGCTCCTCTTAAGTGTAGTATTATGATGGTGGTGAAAAAATAATGAAAAGTCTTCTTTCTCTGACCTTGGGATACTTCTCTATTTAAACTTGTTAGCAGTGTGGGCATCTCAGACATCCCTAGAATCCGAAATACGTCAAACTATAATGAAGCCAAACTGAACTTTTATCTAACTAATATCCAGGCAACGTGACACATGATACAAGTACATCTTTAACTATAAGTACATCTTTAAAAATTATAAGACATATGTGTATCTGAATATGATCATTTTGCATTCAACATGCTTCCTTTCTAGGAAATTGAAGCTCTATTTTATATATTATTTAAAACACCATTTGAGCTTGTAGGCATGAAAAATATAATTTCTTTCCCATTTCACAGTTGGAAAAACTGAATTAAAGAGAACAATGCTAGTAATTATCCATGATTAATAGAGGTGTGTATGTAAATCAGCCTGAATAAGTGTGTGAAATGAGATGTGCCGATGCCAGACAGCTCCGCTCATGTTTTTTAAAGATGGAAGCTTTCAAATCTCTGCGTGAGTTGGGCATACAACTCTGTGTGTTGAGTGGGTCTGGAAATGGACTTTGTAAAAGTGTATGGATTGTAAGGCAACTGTATTATACATTATAAGAATTATAATACATAAAATAAATTAGATGAGTGTTTAAAATTCATTAGACAGGTATATCTAATACATATCTAATGACCATGAATGCATACATAATGGTTATTTATAATGTACTATAGATTTATATATGTGCCTGGGTGCAGCAAGGAGTAGACTGGAATTTGGGTGTACGCTGATGATTAAAAGTGTAGGAGAAGGTGCATGTTAGTTTCCTAGGGGTGTAGGGGCTAATTGGATTAATACATGCAAAAGCCCTTAGAACTCTATTACATGAGAAGCCCACTATCTATGTTAGCTATTATTATTATTATTATTACCATTTTTATTAGGCAAGGTAAAACTGCCGTTATAATAAGGAGCTGAAAAGAAGCATTCTCTCATTGATCCCTGGGATAATATCCTACAGAAAATAAATGAAGCTGTAGTCCAGCCACCTTCACAGCATGGGATCTTTGTAGGATTTTTCTCCCTGCTTTCCTTCCTTGCCAGTGGAGTCTGATTTGAGAACCCATTCCTGGGAGTGCCAGCTGAGGACAGGTACATCTCCTCCTCTTTCTAGAGATAGAATCTGGCTGTTCAAATGCCAGGCGCACCCACAGCAACACCAGTCTCCCTGTGGGAGGAAGCAGGCCAGGAGGAGTGCAGATTTCTGCAAGCCTGGTTTGTTTGTGGACATTAATTTTTTTTTTTTACTTTAATTGTGGGGCGTGTTTTGTTTTCAGAGTGAGCTTTAGACAGCTGTATTAATCATGCAAACCCAGCCATGCACAATGTGTTTTATCAATGGAAAAACAGGAACGGAATGGCAAGCAGCTGTGAACAAACCCAGTGCAGTGCCTGAACCTGGAAGATAATCTCAAACATTTCCCAAACCTACTAGCCACACGGGGTTAGTGAATGGAAAGGCTGTTCACTTGGAATAAATAATCAGATAGGAGGCAAACAGGGTAGACAGATTCCAGGGTTATTAATTTTGTTTTTTTTTTAAGTGGCTGCAATTGTGGCCAGAGAGCCTTGAGCTCGAGGGAATTCTTCACTTGAGGGTGATAAACACACAACGGTGGTTTGTTCTTGTCCTTTTCTCTTCTTTCCCTTTATTTCTACTTCGGGAGGCTGGTTTCATCACCTCATTCTGCACCTGCGGTCCTTCTAAATGTGAGAGCATCTCTGGTGCACGTCCGTCATGAGGGGCTGTGCGTAGGGAGGAGACGGGAGCAATGTTACCCGATTCTCAGTATTCAGAGCCCTCAGGAAATGATTTGAGACTAACAAAGTGAGAAAAGTTCCCTCAGACATTTAGAGCTGGCTCTGTCCTCATTTTACAATTCAGTGGATTTTCTGCAGCGATGTAGTCAGGGGTAGTTATGCAAAATATATGCAATTCAGGACTCATTTCAGAATAAATAAACCTAAATTAAAATTAATGGAAAAAAACACCTATCAGAAACAGATAAAAAATGGCACACTATTTTATTATTTATTTATTTATTTATTTATCTTTTAAATTAAGGAGCAGGGAAGCACCCTGATTTTTTTGTTTTGTTTTGTTTTGGGCATAAGAGGAAAGGAAGTTTGAAAATTTCTGATTGGCCGCAGACAATATAAATTGTCCTTTGGTGTAATTCCAGTATTATTAGTATCACTGCAGAAAATCAAGCAATGTGATGAAGGAAACCCAAGGGAAACACATTTGATTTACTGAGCCTTGTTTTTTTTTAATCACAGCTTGAAGAGGTTTAGGACGGCATTCCTGCTGCAACTCTGCTGTTTGTCCCCAGTCACCTTGATGGGCCATGTAGAGAGGGGGTAGGAGGGGAGACCCTCCAAAGAGAGATATTAACAATGAAGTAGCTGAAATTAAACATGTGTTCCTGTTATGGGAAAGTAGGAGGGAAAGTTCTCTTTTTTTATGATGGGAGGAGAGAAAAGGAGCTTGGGGACTTTCTCCTACTTTCAAAACACCTTATGAAAATTAATTGGCTCAAAATCCTTCAAGCCATTTGCATCAACCATCTGCTTATAGACATCTTCACACTTTAGGAGGGAAAGGTAGGATTGCACATAGATGATGACAATATATAATACTTAATTAAATGAAGGTGTCTCATGTTATAGTTATGACCACAGTGAGGCAGTCAGCTTTTCTTAGATATTTCGGTACTATAAAAAGGGTTAAGGATCCCATATGTTAGTATTTTTTTCCATGGGCTGCCATCTTGATTGGAAAGAAGAGAAGAAAACAGATTTGATTCTAGAAAGTAAAAGTCCTTGTAAGGAACAGGAAACTTAAGAGGGCACTTCCTATAACTACCTCTCTCACCAGCTACCCCAAGTCTCCATGAACAGCTTTTCAATTTCTACAAGCAGAAGCCCTAAGTATTAGTAGTAAGATAAACTATATTCTCTAAAACTACTGGATCTATGGAAGTTATCTACAACAGTCCATCTACAATGTAAAATCAAACTAGGGTCATTCTCCAATCAACAGTTCTGTTTGTGGGAAAATAACAAGTTCAACAAAATCCCACATGCTCCATCCTGGTCCAAATTGTTTTTCAATATCAAACAGCTGTCCTTTGTGAACAGTGTCTGGCTTCATTTTGTTCAATGTTATATATATCATAAAGAGTGATCAGATAAAATATTTGACTTTGTGGCTGTAGAACTGCTCTCACAAAGGATACCTCGAGCAATAGTGACACTGTACAAAGCCCATCTTGGATGGAGCATGACCTTTTTGAAAGTGTTACGCATTGGGACAAACGCATATGTGCATGTTTGTCACATCAAGACATTTGCAAGATGGCAACATGATAAAATGGTGTCAATCTCTGCAGCAACAGTAGAAGATAAATGTTTTAAAATGACTGTGGCATGTCAGGAATTCAAAATGGGATGCTTTCCATGAACACTGAGTTTCTTGTCAAGTCTAAAAAACAGGCACATTTTAACAGTCTTATTTTTAGTGACTGGGATAAGAAACAGGTTTCATCAATGTTTTAGGGAAGAATTTTATTCAACAGAGTTCTTCTAAAAATAGTTTGGCCCCTACTTCAAATTTAAGAATAATTCTTTTATTAAGCTGTCTAGTTGATCCTTGAAACCGTGCAATTCTCATTTCTAATGTAATTAAAGGAAGTTTGCATATATGTGAATACATACATATGCAAAACCATCACATTATTGACACTCTCCATATCTACACCCAATTCTGGCCTAATTTTTAGTTTGGACAAGTGTTAATGAAACATGATCCATCTTCAAACTTATAAAACAGCAGCTTCCTACCTTTAATTCTGAGCACATTTCCTTTAGAGTGTATACGACAATCTTGTTTAATTGGATTTATTTTTTCCACACTAGGCTCCACATGGCCTACTTTCCATTTTTTCTCAAGTCTTTGAGTGTTATTTGCAAATCACTTTTCTGGAATTTAATTTCAATGGTAGGTTGATTTCATTTCAGGTTTTTTTATTGTTTTAATTTTATTTGCCAATTTGCCTTTAAATGCCCTTAAGCTAGAAGGTCGGGGCTGCACTGCACTTGCAGCTAACCGTGATGTAGAAGGCAAAATTTAATTTGAGTGTGTAGAAATTTCTGTGAGAAGGAATATGGAATGATTACCTTGTTTTCTTATTTGTGTTTTCTGAAATAGTTATGTTTAAAAGGAAACGCCCCCAAATCGGCCAAGATTTTAAGAAAAGGTAATGTCCTTGTAATCTGGCTGAGTTCAATCTTTGGTAATAGATAAATTCATTTTTACAAGTAATACAAATGACTTCAGATTTGGATTGTATAAGGTGGTCAGTTACAGGATTCATATTTTTGTGAGCTACAGAATTTAACCGGCTGTGTTCCAAATATGTGAGTTCATAGTTACCTGTAATATGTATTAATAGAACAAAAAATTGCTGTCTGAGTTTAGCACTGTCTCCTCAGTTAGTGACCAACTTGAAGTTAGGTCAGGTACAGACAGACCAGTTACCTGCCTTTCAACTAGTGTGAGGGCAATCGATTGACCTTTTTTTGAAGGTTTAAAGAAAAAAATGATTCCTTTTGTATGCGAATTTTGTCAAGGTGCTTCCCCCTTTTTGTGTTTTGCACATTATAGGTGATGGAGAATGACCCAGCAACAGAACTACGACGATAAAAATCATACTGACCTTGAATGGGGTGGGGGATTGTGGGTAAAACACGCTCTAAAGGGGAAAAAATAGTAAGCATCATGGAGAATTTATATAGATAGATATATCTTGCTCATGTTTAGCTTCACAATTTTAAAACAGATGAATTTTCATGCCTACGGGATCATATCTCCTGTAAAGCATTTGTCTGTCCTTCCTGCCAACACTAAATTATCAGAGAGCTATTAGTAAACTTTAGCATCCAAAGTGTTTTAAAAAATTAGCTAGAATAGGGGATAACACCTTATTGTGGTAACCTTGCAAACAGGATCCTGCCCTCCTCTGGAAAATCCACCAAGATTACAGATTTTGGGGGCTGTTGGTATTGAGGGTATTTAAATTAGTAGTGATCAAATTCAGGTCATGCATCTTGGCCCTGGTTCTGGGCTCTTTAACTTCTGAAAGATGAACCTGTGGTAACTAAAGACTCCTTTCCTCCCTTTAAGCCCTACAGTTCATATCAGCTTTAGCCAAGCATCTAGAAAATTTATTTTGGTAAATACTAATTCAATTTTTCCCTCAGATTTTTCCTTCCACATTACTGGTATCAGTGCAAGAGTAATGCAAAGACACTAAGCTTCTTGGCATGATAAAATCTGATTTTTAGTCTTTTCCTTCATCCCACCCCCCTGTGATAATACAATATCATCTTAAGTTTGATCACCAGTCAGATTTGCTTGATGACACATCCTGTTCAGCAGTAAGACGTGCTTTTCTTTTAAATGCTAGAGTCTCAGCTTATGAGTCGCTCGCAGTCCCATCCCCAAGCTACTGACCATAAATTGAATGTGCTGAAAGAGTTCAGACTTTAAGGTATCCTCTACTTGTCTCATCAAAACCCAGGCTTAACTCTAAATCCTCCTCCAGGGCTCTTTCAGAAAGATAGAATGTTGCATTAGGGATAGGATGCATTACTTGCTACCCCCAAACCCTATAATGTAATGTAATCCTAATACTTTTCTACATTCCTCCTAGCAGCTTGGTTAGATAAAGACCAGTGATAAATGAAAATCAACAAAAATCAAAACCATAAAAAGAAAAGCATATGTGCACATTCAAATCTGATCTGCCTGCCATCTTGTGTCATAAGCTTAGAAGAGTAGATTTTGCCTGGAATTTGGGGACTCAATACATCTGGACACTAAGAAAACCCAGTCTCCTTGAAGAGTGAGCTTTCCTTTCTTGGATGAAAGGTGTGGCTTAAATGCCAAAGTTTTCTAAGTGCATTAAGATGGAACAAGTCAATAATAGCACAGTGAAAAACTGTGTCTTAGTTACACAGGTGTCAAGGAGAAAAATGTTTTAAACCTCCAACTGGTTATTTGGTATTAAGTTTCCAGCTTTGAAAATAAATAGCTAAACTGCTTTCAGCATTTATAGAGCAGCTGGAGACCACTGTCCCATATTATACTATATCTATCTTATTTTATTCTTATTGCAATTATTATTCAGAATGTTTAAATGACTCAGCTTAATATTTTCTCATCACACTGTTCACAGCTGGGTAAATGCACTCTGCCCTCATTTCGACAAGACCATTTATATTGCTAAACATCTCATCCACCCCCCTCTCATTGCCTCTTCAATGATGTCCCACCCTGTTATCATCATCTTAGCCCCATCACACCCCATTAGTTATTCTCATTCTCTTAATCTCATCCTACTGGCTTATCATTTCTTAGATGCTTCCCCATCCTAGCTTTTTATCCTTATTCTTCCACCATCATTTCGCTGTATTTTGTAGTTTATGCCAGGGTTTATGGGCTCCTGTAAGAGTGTAAAGTGAAGTAAATACCACTTAAAGTGAAAAAGAAATCTCCGACTTTTAACATTTAAACGTAGGGGAGAGCAGGAACCTTGGTGCTCTGTGCTCTGTCTTTTTCCTGCTAGTATTTGAGGAGGTCAACACAACTTATCAATTGATTGGGAGGTTTTAAGAACGGAATGCAAGGTTTACCCCAACACGATCTGCTGTGGCTCTTGGTAAGTCTTAAGTCTGAGCTTTGGTTTCTTATCTGCTAAATGGGGTGGAGGGTGTTATTGGCTGATTCTGCTCGGACACCATAAAAAACAGTTAAACTGGAGTTAACACTTTGAAAGAAACCCCTCTGAATTAAAAGCACCTAAATGACAAAAGCTGGGGTTGAGAGGAGGGTGTACAGAGAGAGGTAATTTATTAACTTAGATATGATTTTCTTTTATTTTCCAGTGGGTATTGGATATGGTCAATGGTCTCTCTGGAAGTAGGTGTATTCAATGCCTACTCTTAAATCTAAAACTAGTTCTGGTGCCCATCTATTTCCTACTGTATCCACAGAGAGCCCTCAAAAGGAGGGCTTTCAAACTACATATAGATAGTGTTCAAATAGCTGCTCGAACTGCTTTATCACGCGGCATCCAGTAGTAGCTGGTTAAGAGGCTTTGCCAAGTCTTAACTAGCATCATCACGTGGTGTATATTTAAGTGCTGGGCCTCAAAAGTAACTTAAAACGACTTCTGAAGAAGCAGGGAAGCCCTGATTTTAAGGGCTCTCTCCAGTGCTGGGTTGCTTAGGTTGTTCTTAAAATTTAATCAAGTATAAGTTTACAGGTCAATGATCTTTTAAAATTAAAAAGAAAATTTTAAAACCTCCTACACACAGATGTGGTATGGCTCAGTGTAGATTTCTTTGTATTTTTATTCTTTTGTACTCAGTAGCCTCAAAATACGTTACCGATCCACACATTTCTCTGAAGTAGAAGGTAACTGATAAATAGGACTGTCCTTTAACATGACGAATGCCTTCTTTTTTTTTTCCAGTATATGGGCCTCTCACTGTTGTGGCTTCTCCCGTTGCGGAGCACAGGCTCCAGACGCGCAGGCTGAACGGCCATGGCTCACGGGCCCAGCCGCTCCACGGCATGTGGGATCTTCCCGGACCGGGGCACGAACCCGTGTCCCCTGCATCGGCAGGTGGACTCTCAACAACTGCGCCACCAGGGAAGCCCACGAATGCCTTCTTTTGACATGCCTAGGGTCAAAAGCTGAGCAGTAGGCTGGACTCTCTGCTCAAAATCTCAATGTGCCAAAGATGAACCAATGGTCTCACTAATCTAGTGGACTCAGGCTGGTGAGGGTTAATGGAAATGGATGTGGGAGGTGGTGGAAGTAGTGCCCCTCGGTGGGAAGGAATATAACAATATTTAGTCAGTGAAAAATATCATTAAGTGAAAAAAGGAGAAAGAAGTTAGATGTCTTTTCACCTCCAAACTACCAAAGATACATCTACTAACATTTTCGCTACATATACAAATCTAGATAACGTGTTGGTTTACAGCCTGGACTCTGGAAGGAGATTACCTGAATTTAAATCCCAGCAGCCTTACTTAGTTGCACTAGTTACTTAACCTCTTTGTATAATGGAGAAATACGAGTGCCTAATAAGGCTGTCCTGATGATTAAATGAGATCACGTATGTTAAGTGTTCAGCACATGTGCAGAGTACCTTGTACATACTCACTTGATAAGAAGTGATGACGTTAAAATCATCTCCCTTATTCTTCCTCCCTACCTGTTGCTTTAAAAATAACTCAGTGCAAGCAATAAAACAAGATAAGGTTTCCTTTGCGGATGCCTTGCAGTCACCAGTGTGGATACACGGACTCTGTTATGTTACACATGCTGACAATGCAGAAGTCCAAGTCTTCACCCATGTGATACATATTCCCACATCTTACAAAAACTAAGGAGCGGAATCCTTGACTGTATACATTGTACCATGGATTAATGTGTACAGAGAAATGATATAATGTAACACTTTGCCAAGGATGAAAAAAAGATATAAAAGGCATTACTTGGATATATAGGCTAAGGGAATGGATCCTTAATAAACAGAATACTAGAATGTGTGGAGGACAAGAAAAATGAGAAAGGAATGCTTCCATTGGCTTAGGAAAAATGACTATGAATACAAGGTATTCTTGCACTCTCATTCAATTATTTTGACACCTTTTTTTTTTTTTTGCGGTACGCGGGCCTCTCACTGTTGTGGCCTCTCCCGTTGCGGAGCACAGGCTCCGGACGCACAGGCTCAGTGGCCATGGCTCACAGGCCCAGCCGCTCCGCGGCATGTGGGATCTTCCCGGACCGGGGCACGAACCCGTGTCCCCTGCATCGGCAGGCAGACTCCCAACCACTGCGCCACGAGGGAAGCCGGAAGCCCCCATTTTGACCCCTTTGAAGATAATATTTGAATAGAGAGTGAAGAAGCATATGTATGTATGTGATGGAGGACAAGATGTATCAGTGACCGCAAACTGACACTGTACAAAGTCAGCACGTCACTGCGGTGGACATGGAAAATGTGCTGATGCACCAGTGAAGATGGATAATCATGAACTCTTCAGGGGCTCCGGCTCTGGGTTTCTACCTGCTGCTGCCTCTGGCTGGCAGCAGCTCACCAGCTGGCTTGTCTGCTTTGGACCGGCTGGGTCAGCAGAGCATCCCGCTGCCCACATAATGCTCTCTGTCACGGGTGCTGGCCATGGCTGCCCCTCCCAAGCATCTCTCCCCTCCTGACCCTGTTCTGTGGAAAAGTACGGCCACCAGCAGTGTCTTCCTTCTTCCCAATAAACCCATCTACTTTGAATCTAAGTGATGGGCAATCTGCTCACACACGTACTTTCTTTTTCTTCATTTTTTTCTCTTCCTCTCCCTTGTGTGTGCTCTCCTGCCAACCTTTTACCTGTGTAAATTGGTTACCATAGAGCCTTATTCTTAAAGATCCAGCTATGAAGGCTGTAACTACACATCTCCCAAACCCAAATCATGGTGGCAAGGCAGTTGTGGTGGAATTGCCATTCCTGTTACACAAGGAGTAGATTCACTAATGTTTGACAATTTTAATAGCTTCTTTTCCCCTCAAAGCCCAGTGACCTTTTGTGTTCTATTCTTCTGTAGGTATTACGCCTCCTAACTTTCCCATCAGGTGGGAAATCAATTCTAAGCCGAACGCTGAGGCATGTGCTTCCTCTCCTCTGCCTGCTGCGGTGTGCAGAGCTGGTGCCAGTGTGGGCTGCCTCGAAGAGGGCCCACCGAAGTAGCACATCATTAATCATGGCCCTGTACTCTTCTCAGAGGTATAATAAGGGTAACTTCTATGAAATCATCAAGGGCAATATGACCATGATATACTTGCCCAATTTCTTGATTCTTAGTTTACAAACAGAAGTTCTATAAGATTCTTGACATTTCTTAGTCTTACTGGGTTGTGTACTTTAAGTGGACTTTTGTGATTAGGACCATGGTATTTCAGGGCTTGAGATTACCTTTCATCACCACCAGCAGACCAGCAGTATCTCTATTATTTTTGACCTAGTCCATGCTCTTCCTCTCTTCCTCAAATGTTTCCTTTCCCCCTCTTCCTCCCTTTCTCTCTCTCTGTGTCTCTTTCTTCCTTTCACACCTGTGAAAAATAGGCTATCATAGAACCTATTCCATCCTTCTATCCTTCTTCCCCATCCTCTCTCTCAGTCTATAGGTATCATTGTATTTATTATTTGAAAAATGTCATTAGCACAGTCCTTTTTCTGGGTGGGATAACAAGAAAAGAAAATTTGCATACTTTAATGCAAATTTACAGTTGCTCTCTTTCTCTAATCCAATTATCCCATTTTCTCTTTTCCAATCCCTACAAAACCTCTTGTTAAGTGTATGTTGTTCTACTTAATCAGCTCACCTTAGATTTGTCGGAATCTCAAATTCACAGTTGAGGCTATTTTCCCCGCTATGTATGGAATCCCTAACGTCAGGAACGAAACAGGTAAGTACATTTCTTAATAAATATCTTCTCAAGTGTTTTGAGATATCGACGTATCTAGCTTAAGTAAAGAACACTGATGTTTGGTCTTTGGAGACAAGTAAACAGGGATATGAATTTTAAACTTCATATTGATGCAGCATTTGTAGCATAGCTGTATCCCATCACCCTTACAGACTGAAGTCAACAGGAGTTATGAATGAGAAACTGAAGGCCAAATTTAGAATAGTTTGTGGTGTTTTTTTTAAATAAGTGGATTGGATCTTGAGCAGTTGTAAAATGGCTTTAATACTATGTTTTGAGGGAACTATCACTTAAATTGATTTTTCTCCTAAAAACTTTTCTCTTGAAGGCTCATCTAAACTGAATAAAGCAAGATGGAGACATTTATCCTGGTCATAGTATTTCTAAATTTTCCAATTCAGCCTGTGCAGAAAAAAAAACAAAAACAAATAAATTCCTAGTGGCTTATTATTTCAAAATAATAAATTTGTTGGACTTTCTCTTTTAGTCCAAATGAACTGTCTAGCCCAGCACATGCTGACACTTTTGTTTGTTTTACTTATTCTGATAAACACTTTCTTATTCTAAGTGCCATCATTTCCCCTGATCTCACCCATCGTACTTCTGTTTCTCAGGAGGCATTTGACTCTGTGCTCATAGCTGCCGGACCAACAAGGCAGGGGGTCAGGTATCTGGCTACAACATGCCGCTCAAGGGAAAGGCTCTAAGGTGGGCTTTCTTATTAATACCAATAACTTAAAATCACTTGTCCTTCCTTAGTCTGCTTGAGGACCTTCTTTGCAGAAGCAGCTTAGGTCCTCTCTCTCACCATCCCATCTCTCTTCCAAAAATATATCAGACAAGTAATGTTTCCTGCTGTCATATGGAAACCTTTCTGCAACGTTTTTCCTCCCTTAGATTTTATATTATGTTTTAATCATTCATTCCACTCTTCCTCTTGTGTTGTTAAAAATACACTTTCTTTTTACAGCCTCTCCCTTCTCCCAGCACCTTATCCATCCTCACTGAATATTTCTCCCTCAATCACTTCCATCACTGCCATTTTTTAAGTGCCATTCACTTTCCACGATCTTACACCATCTCTGCTCCTTAAAGAGACCATCACCAAAGAGATTTTTGTTCTCTGAATATTCTTACAGTTTAACCAACCAGGAAAAAAAAACAAAAAAACAACTAAACTAAAAAAACAAACAAAAAAACAAGGCAGTTATCAAAAGTACACCAGGGAATAGAGAGGAGAGGTATTCACTTGTAAAACTCATTTTACGCAGAGGGATTGTGAACCTGTGTTTTTGTTTCAGTGGCTATACACTGATTTTTGTTTAAGTTTACCTTTAAAAGATATGGGAATGATTTTCGAGTTTTCCACAGGAGATCTCCATCAACTTGGTCTCCCAGGCAGCTCCCTGCTTTGGCATACTTACTGAAAAGTACGAGGCTGGCGTTGGTGACCCCCAGATTGTTGGCAGCCACGCAGGTGTAGTTGCCATAGTGCTCCTCAGTGACGTTGGTCACCGTCAGGGAGGACTGGCCCTCCGTGCTCTTAATCTCAAGGCCATTGGCACTGTTTATCCTAAGCGTTCAAAGACAGAAGAGCAAAGAGAAACACTGATGAAGACTTGGTATAGTAATTTCTTTTTCATCATTATACTGGCGAAAAAGGAGAGAAAGGGAGTAGGTAGAGCTTGTTGTTACTGCTCAATTCCTCATTTTAATCATGCAATCCCATAGAATCAGAATCAAAGTCCATTGATGCAGAAGACTCGGGAATGGATGAGTTTCATCAGGCTTTGGTTTCTGCTCTAGGAGAGAAAGACGCACAGGTGGACACTACCCCCGAACCACCTGCCTCACCCTATGCACGTAACCTGAGTGCTTTGGGGTTCAGTTTAAGAGCTACAGCTCCGGGGCTTCCCTGTCGGCGCAGTGGTTGAGAGTCTGCCTGCCGATGCAGGAGACACGGGTTTGTGCCCCGGTCCGGGAGGATCCCACGTGCCGCGGAGCGGCTGGGTCCGTGAGCCATGGCCGCTGAGCCTGCGTGTCCGGAGCCTATGCTCCGCAACGGGAGAGGCCACAACAGTGAAAGGCCCGCGTACCGCAGAAAAAAAAAAAAAAAAGAGCTACAGCCCCAAAGCACTTGGTAAAAAACCTTGGAAAATAAAGAGTCTAATCGGATAGGCCTACCTAATTACAGCCGGACTTGGCTTTGTCATTAGGGCTTCTGGTTTCCCTTGTTGAGCAGGGGAGACCTGGCGGAGCAGTGGAGGTGCAGCAGGTTTGGCACATACCTGGTGTCATCCCGGTACCACTCAAAGTCAGGTGCAGGCACTGCCGAGGCCTCACATTTGAGAGAAGCTTTCCGCCCGGTGGTGGCTTCGTTGCTCTTGGATTCCGTGATAGTGGGAGGATCTGTAGGAAGGACAGATACACAGTTTACATGAACTTTGGATGGTGCTCCAGAATTTCCACACAAGAAGGAATTAGGAAGGACAATTTGATTGCAGAGAGGCAGGACAGGAATGGTCTTAAAGCTCCATTTACAAGAATTATGTGATCCGCTGAATGGCACGGATCACTAGAAAACTAAATAGAAATAAGAGATTCATGAAACTGTAGACTTGGTTTACTTAAACGGGACACTTAACGGGGCTTTATGGAAATGAAACCTAGGATATCTTTTTCCCTCTTCCAATAGACCATTCGTTATTCCAATCATAGGTTATAATGCTTGCATAGTTTTATTGCTTTTCATAAATTGAGTGGTAATACTAAAGGACTTGGGATTTTAAGTGTATAATTTGAGCACTTTTCTTTTTCACCATCATCGTTATCATTATTATTATTGTTACCTTTGGAGATGGCAGTAAGAAAGCTGATGAAAATAATAGAGAACCGAAGTCCTCTCAGCCAGGCTTAGCCTGATATTGTTGCAGCAATCCAGGAAAAAAACTAATGTCAGACGATTGCTATACTTTTTTCCCTCCTCTGTGCTCCCTTACTGCTATGACCCAGGTCAATTTTGCTTTTATGTGTGAGGGTGCAGCTTGAAGTCTATCGTGGCGCATAAACACCTTCCTGGGGTACCAGTCTTCTGCTCTCTCTGGTAGTTATGCACTTGATTTTTTTTCTGCTTAGGACTGAGTCTATAAAACTGTAATGGGCTTGAAATGAGCTCAGAAACACATTCTAATTTGCCATGATTCTTTCAAACAATCCCATGGAAAGCGGAACAAGTGTTTCCAGGTCCACAGGACCTGAGCGACGATGGTAAACTTGAGCTTTGGGCTTGATGATGCTGTGTCTGTGCAGGTTATGGACCCTCAAGGAGAAAAAGACTTCTGTCCAAAGGTTATTTGCCAGAAAACAGCAACTTGGCTGTGTGTACATGGATAGAATAGACCCAAACCATCTGTTTATATTTTATAAAGGAAAAAGCTTATTTAGGTAAATTAGTGAAGTGAACTCTAATATACGAAATTCATTGACATCTCTGCTCTTCAGCACCTGGTTCAGCTCACTTATTTTCGGGTTTTTGTCTTCATATTCAAAAGTTATTTTCCAAGTTTTCTACCTGTAGAAGACCTGGATCCTCCTAGTTAAAAAGGATGTACAAAAGCATCATCAGGTTAGTCTGCAATTTTCTCCCCCATTTAATTTTCACATCAGTTTGGACATCTTTAAATCACTGTCCCAGAGAAGGGGAGTTAGAGTACATTTGGATAACACCACCAGCCCGTGTGTAAACGTGAGCCGGAGTGGGTGGCTGCTTTGCTTTAGACTTAGCTGCTCATTTTTGTTTAGACGGAAAAAGGCAAGAAGATGAGTGGAAAGAACCCTCGACTGGAAACTAGGAGCGCTGGAATTTAGTTTCTGTTTGGTTGTGTGGGCTTCCCATCACACAATTTATCTTTCTGAGCCTTGGTTTTATTATCTATAAAATGAAGGAACCACACATTAACGATCTATATAGCATCCCTTCCAACTTAAAAAATACCAATTCTAGGGGACTTCCCTCGCAGTCCAGTGGGTAAGACTCTGTGCTTCCACTGCAGGGGGCACGGGTTCATTCCCTGGTCGGGGAAGTAAGATCCCGCATGCCTCACGGCGTGGCCAACCCCTGCAAAAAACCCCCACACCAAACCAATTCTAGTCAAAATGGCCCATTCTTCACAAATGGGCAGTTGGTAGCATTAGGACCCAAGTGTATTTTTATACCCATAACTCCTTTAGCCCTTAACCCTTAAATTGCTAAATTCAAAATTGTAACTCATTTATCTAATACATGGGTTGGGAGTCAGGATTAGAAGTCAGAAACAGCACACCATAGGTCTGATTTTGACTATTAACCAGAATTGTGGCCTGGACAAGTGTCTGTATCAGTTTGAGCTTTTTCTTTCTCATCCTTTAAAAGAAGAAGTTAGCTTAAAATGATCACCAAGTTTCCATTTTAAATCCTTTCATTCTATGATTGGTTATATAGATCATTAGAGCACATTAGTTCAATGGTTAATGCAATGATTAGTGGTAGTGGTGTGGATGGGGGAGCTATTTGTATAGAGATGGGGTATGGAGTAGAGGTTAAGAACTTGGATTTAAAGTTTGATAGACCTGAGCTCAAATCCAGTCTATGTCCTTCACTATCATTCATCATTAGAGAGCTCAGTACTTTGTCTAGAATCACAGTGTCTCAATTTCCTCATCTATAAAATGCTGGAACCAGAGTCAGGGAGGTCCATTTGGAGACTGCTGAAGGAACCCAGAGATAGCCTGCACTAGGTCTTTGATAAAGGGGCTGGAAGGGAATGAACAGATTTGAGACTGAGAGATATGAGCCTCAGAATCGACAAGATTAGGTGTGAACAGTGAGGGAAAGAAGGAGGAGTGTCAAGGATCACACCCATGTTTCCAGCATGGGCATCTAAGTGATGCCATCCACTGAATAAATGTTAGTTTCCCGTCTTCACCTCTTCACTGTATTAGGCTAGGCTCTTAAACTGCCACTCTACAATCTGTAGCATGTTGGCCAGAGTGATGATCTTGCTTGTGATTCAATTGGTTTGTTCAATTTGTAAAATGAGTTTTAAACAGTGTTTGTGAGTTTCTGGAGCCGCATGCTTAAGACTGACAAATCCTTAATGATAACTACCACTTTGCTAAACCAGGTCCAATCTGGGCCAGACTCCACATTTTCCATCACCTCTACCTCTGGGGCTCATAGTTGGGGCACCTCAACATAATAATCCATGGTGGACGTCTTCTAGCCCTTCCGCCATGGGACCAGGAACACAAGTCCCAGCTGTACAGTTTTATGGGTGAGTTCTTCCTCACTCTAGATGCTTCCTTCTATGTGGTGGGAGCTTATTTATTAAACCTCCTTGCTCTGGAACCCAGGGGGTGATTTTTCTAACTGAAAAATTAGGGAAGAGCAAACTCGGTTTGTTTGCTTCATCTCTCCCCTTTCTTCCTCCTGGGACCAAACTTCTGTCGGGGAGCAGAGGTTCTCCTCTGCTTCTCCACACTGATGTCTTACGTGGGCTCTTTCCTTCCTGCTCTCATGTGGGCAGGCCTGCCCCCGTCCAGGGCTGCATGATTGGGAAGGTAGGTTGGCCACACTAAGCTGCTACCTCTAACCATCTTGATCTCTAACAATGGGGGCAACTGGGCCTCGTGTATGTCTCCTTTACTTATTTCTCATTTTGTTCAGAACCTGAATAACTAAGTAGTACTATTTATTAGCGTCTCAGAGATGACAGCATGGGAAGGATGACAGTGAGCTAGGGTTGAACACGTTCAAATGCATTGATCTTGGGGCAGGATGACACTGGTCAATTACAAAGACCAAACACTTGCTCCTCTCCTTGAAAATCTGGGAAGTTTCTCGTACCAAGGTATAGTCACAGAAAATGATAAATGTATGAAGAGTTCATTATTTCCAGTATTTCTCAAATGACACAGTGGCGCAGGTCTGTCCCACAGCTTATTGGAATGAACATTTCAAAATTCATTTGTAATGAATTCTGCATAGGTGAGGCTAAGAAAAGTTATTATAAATCGTATTGTGGCATGCCTAGTAGAGTTAAAATAATAGATGTCCTTTGCTCAAAATATGGTTATAATTAAAATGTGGCTTAATAAAAATGCTATACAGAGGTCCATTGTTATTCTTTACGTGACTTCACAATAGCTTACAATTGTCAGAGGACTCTTCCAGTTCTTATTACTTTAAAATTCTGGGTTCTGAAAATAGTAAGGGCTTTCTTCTTATATCACCAATAATAAGACTCTTTCAGTTAGAATGAATAGGATAACAATGACAGTGGCCTAGCAAACAGAATATCATTCATTTAATCTTCCTGATGTTTGGAATAATAGTATAAAGGAAAAAATTCTTAATAAAAGATTCAATATATAGACATTTACCATGTGTCAGCACTCTACTAGGCTTTATTTATTCTTTTCATCCAAACGGTAACCCTAGGAAACAAGGATTATTAACCCCATATTATGAATGAGAAGACAGATTTGCAGAGGGTTAGTAAATTGTGCAAATTCACATAGCCAGCACTTGACGGAGTCTATATTGGAACCCATGTTCTGAAGCCCATGCTCTGAATCTCCCTGTGTTTCCATTTGAGTGAGTTCCTTTAGAGAGAAATTAATTCCTAATAAGGGAAAACAACATTTAGGGGAGTATGCTGGTAGTTTAAAAGGCAAATATTACGTATTTCTATTGAAAGGTACCCAAGATGGCACAACATGCACTGGCATAGTGGATATGAACCCATATTAGAAATCAGGAGATGTGGGCTCCATTTTTGCCTGTGCCACTTAATGTTGTCACCTCTTGAAGGTGACATGTTAACTTCTTGGAGTCCCTCACCTTTGAATGTAGGTGATAAGGCCTTGCCTACCTGTCTCACAGGTTTGATATAAAGATCAAATGAAATCTCATATATCAGAGCACATTTAACACCTGAAGTGATTACATTTATTATTTTTATTACTATTACTCACATGGTATCTTGGAAGGAAAGAGGGCTTTGGGATTAGACCTGGGCAGAGCTTCAACTCTCCCACTCACAGGTTCTTTGATTTTGTGGCAGAGAATGCTTACATCCTCTGAGCTTTCTTTTGTCCTCTGCACGGAGATGATCTGATTATCTCCTGGGTTAGTGTGTGATGGTGGACCGACGGGGTGGAGGCAGGGAACACAGGCAATAAGAAAGGCATCGTATCCAGAGAGTTTAAAAACAATAATAAACCTAACTAAAAGTTGTCTTTTAAAAAAAAATCACCATGTACCTGCAATACTAAACCAAACATACCAAACGATGTTAGTGATAAAGTAAATACTTCTCCTACTGAGGCAGGCTGGGCCCCATATGCCTCTTTCCTTGGTTGGATGATTACGGTGAATCATACAAAATTTCTAATAGAGTCTTGGTACTCTGGAGATACTCAGAAAATGATGGTTCTTGTACACATTGCAAAGTTGTAGTAGCAAATCGCAGTACTCTGGATTCTTATTGAATAGTTCCTCTGATGATCCCATAACAGATTCATAAACATTAGCATGTGTCTTTATTGATATCATCAATAAAGATGTAAGAGTAAACTAAAGGTTGGCATGGAGAATGGAGAGGTGTAGCCATGAATAGTTAGAGAACGTAGCCAGTTTGGTTCCATATTGAGCCATTATTTTCCTCAAGGTGATTTTGGAATCAAAGTACTGAAAAGTCCAGTTAAAATACAGTAATATTATCTGGAGACGACAGATGTCTCCAGTCCCAACTGTGGAATCTATGGTAGGTAACCTCTGCTTCCTCTAAATAAATGGCTCTCAAAAGTAAGGGCAAGCTTTAGAAATGCCAGAGTCCCATGTCCCCCAGCATATATGTTGGGTTGGTTAGCTCTGGACACCAGGGTGGAGGCAGAGCTGAGTTGAAAGGGAGATGAGAAGAGGAAAACAAGTAATAAAGCGTGACAATGTGAACCTAGTTGGAGAGAGAGCTGTGGGAAAGCTGAAGGCAGGAATATTAGCTGGTCAGTGGGGTTTGGGGGCAGGCTTGAGAGCTGGGGGCAGCTTTTGAGGAGAATTTCTCCAGGAATAGGAAAAGTGTCCAGTATAAGAAGAGTCCAAATAAAATTAAGTCCTCACTAACTGAACACTTACTATGCACTAGACATTATCCTTGGGATACTGGGCACTAGAATGAGACAAACCCAGAAGTAGCTACTTTTAATGCACTGTGAGAACTGAAATTGAGGGATTACACCTAGAACCTGTAAATGAAAGGACACTTGTCCCTAGGGCTGGAATCTGGAAGAAATTAGCAACATCCTGTAAGATACAAGAAAACAGAAGTCCTGCCTATTGTACAAAATTTTACTAAGCTTATTTAGTTGAAGAGATTTCGGGTCAATAATTTAGCTTCTGTAAGCTCCAGGACATCCTACCACTTAGAAAATAGATTTTTCATGTCAAATGGCTATGCACAGTACTGTAGACCAACTGTGGAGAAGGATTACCCAAGAGAAATAAAAAGGAGAGACTGTAGAATCCAGCTTGTAAGCTAAACAGGAAGAACTGTTCTGTCTCTCTTGTTTACGGCTCTAGCTTCTCAGTGCCCTGGGACAAATATCTGTCAGCAAATGAGTAAATGAGTCAATGAGATGCTAGCAGGAGAAAATAACCAGCACTGGGATTTTTTTTTTTTTTTTTTTAGTGGTATTGTGGATCTGTTCATTATGATAATCTATTCAGCCATTAATTATCTTAGCCATCCTGATCCCCTGACCTAATTCCAAACCTTGTGTCTTGAAAAGGAAGAGGAATCAGCTTAAATAATGGGGCACTTTCATAGTAGGCAGGCTTATATGAAGTGACAAACTGGAAATTTCTCAGTTTGCATGAGCTTTGCTGGCCAGACCTGGTTCTATAATTTAATCTTGGAGACTACATCTACTTGATACAATTACATTTAAGTAGGGTGAATTGTTTGAATAGGACAACAGGTGCAATGGCTAGTTGTTTTAATATAATAGAAACAAAGCTTATGAAGTGTTGATAAAAAGGTGATTCCAAAGGGCATTGATTTAGAACATGCTTCCTGATTTGTGGCATACATCAATTTGCAAAGTTTGGAGAAATGTTACAAGAGCAGAGTTTATCTGTTAGTCTTTCACCTATTCATTCAGTAAACATTTACTGAGCAATTTTTACAAGGTCAGGTATGTGCTAGATGCTGCTGGTTAGGACAGACTGTCTGACTAAGCTCATTAGAGTTTTCTATGTAATTTGTTATGACGTCATTTTAGAATCTTGAGTCTGTCTATATTCTTCTGTGGTTCACTCATCGTGAGGAAAAGCTCACATTTTTATAAAAGGATTTTCTTGAAAATTATCAGTATTTTCTTCTGTTCTAAGTTACACTTTGGGGACAGTCAAGAAGGAGCAATGTCAGAATAATTGTGCTAATAATAATAGGACCCAGGCGGCTGGCTTTGATCTTGGGAACCATCTGCAATGCGGACCGCTTTGATGTTTCACACAATGGAAGCATAAATATTTTCTATGTACTCCAGGATCGGACTTTCAGAAATCTAATGAAGATGAAGGTCGATTAAGAGAAAATAAAATCTTAACTCCGAAAGTCAGAGAAGAGGTGGTAGATGATGGCACAGCTGTGTGTACATAAAAAAAAGCTAACTAACCTAATTATAAACTTATATAAACACCGAGAGAAATTGCCTTTCATGTGAAAAAAAGGTCCTAAAGCATTTTATAACACTGGGATCATTAACGTGTCTTTGAAACACACCCAGAACTGGAAAAGAATAGTAATACTGGCATTTCAAAACTCTATTACTTAAAAAATCGCACTTCAGGATAAAAGCACTTCGGATCTCATCAAATGCATCCCCTTGTTCTTGGAAATGAGTGCCATAAATGCTACAGCAGAATCCTATCTGTTAGATTCTTCTAGGTCGGGTGTGAAGGGGATTTCGCCTTCTGTTTCAGAAGGCTGCCAGGCTGGAGCAAGACCACAGGAAATAGTGCAGTCCAGCATTGACCGGGTCACTTAAGTCAAGTTTCCTCAGCTCTCTGCGCCTCAGTTTCCAAATTTCTAAAGTCAGACTAAAGATGATCTCATGAGTTTACTGTGAGGATTAAATGACAAATGTAAATCCCTTAATCAGTGCTGCACATAGTAGGTACGAAGAATTGAAAACTTCTCTTTCTCTTTCTCCTGAGAGCATGGGCTTTAGAATCAAACAGGCTGGAGTCTGCATCCCTTTTCTTACTCTTGCTTTCTGTGTCATTTTGGAAAGGCAATTATACCTCCTAGGGCTCTAGTGTTTCAAACTTTAAAATGGAGTCAATTATATCTACCTTGCTAGGGACTTTATACAGTATCACTGGCACACAGTTTGACTACATGGAAGGCTTAAAATAATGGAAAGTAACTTACAACCATCCAAAGCATATTTTGAAACATGGGTTAAGATGTATGTGCATGTGTGTCTGTGCGCCTTTGTGCATGTGTGTATGTATGTTATATGTGCACACGTGAGTATATGTATACGTGTGGAGTGTGTATTTGTGTGTGTATTTGTGTTAAACACACAGGAAGGAAGAACTGTCAGGACATCCTTTTATCCCTGTCACTAGCCACAATTATGTGATGTGGAACTTGAATTTGAACGATGTGGACAGTCACTCCTCACTGAACAAGGTAAATGAATTCTCTTTATTCCTTTGCTGGGTGACACATCATATGGATCCGCCCCTGCCCCCCATCCTTTTGAACTACATCTAAGGATCCTTTCATCTGAGAAGTTCAAAGTTTGCCCACTTACCGATGTATCTTAGTGAAATCTTCCTTTCTAATGCCCATACTTTGGGACAAATAGATAACCAATATTAACTTATCAGGTATCCCTCGTAGCCACCGGGGACACATGGTATCTGACCACAGTGGCTTAAATTTGTTCCCAAGGCCAATTAGTTCAATAGCGGAGGATAAAATATGGTCTTGAATTATTCTCTTCTGACAAACAATACATTAAGGTGGAAATTCCAATTAAAGCAGTTATGAGTTGTTGTTTTTTTCCAAAGTGGTATGACCTTGGTCTCCACAAAGACTAGAAGAGTGATGATTGCCTAAAGTGCTAGTGTGGTCTGATCATGTTTTCTTAATTCTGTAGTCTAAGTAAAAGACAGAGCGTATTGTTAAATGCATTATAGGTTATATTTAGAGTTGGTACGGTTGATTTATCAAATTCAAGGGCCAAGTCCTGCCCTTGGATATGTCCAGTGTACAAATGTGCATCCCTGACTAGAGGAGTATCTGCTTGAAATGCAATGTTCTTTTGATATAGGCTCTTTAGAGCTCGCTGGAGGTGGAGGTGGGCCCTGGGCACATGGCACCTGCTGGCTCCTGCCATACTCACAGTTCACAGTGACCTTGACTTGTTTGACATCCGCCGAGGAGACCTCATTGGCAGCTTTGCACTCATATTTGCCTGACTGCTCCCTGGTGATGCCGAGGATCTCCAGATATTCTTCTTCTCCTTCAAATTCTCTTCCTGTAAAACAGAGGTTTCCATGATTTTTTTTTTTAAGTTTAAAATATGCAGGAGATCACCTCTTTTTTTCTTTTGAGAAGCAATAGATCCACATGGCTTTTCAATAATTTGACAATGTTCTTTGTCTGAGGTCAGGTTCTACAGAAGCAGACTCCAAGACAAAAAGTCATTTGAAGATGATTAAGGAAGGAAATGTTCTCAGGAAAAACTGGTAGGGGAGTGGGAAAATGGGATCTGGCAGAGAAAGGAGCCAAGCTGGGGTGCAACACCAGGTCTCATCCCACAGATGGCAACTCAGCTGAATCCCTCAGGGAGCTCTGAGCACAGCACAGGTCCCACTTCAAAGCTGTGCTGACCAAGAATCAAGAAGCTGGAGTGTTTATACATCACGCTCATCCGTCACTGGCTAAAGGTTTAGAGCAAAGTGGGAGTCGCGGCGAGGGGCATGCAAGTTGTAAAGGGGTCAGAAGGGCAGCCATTGAAGTGCTGAATCATCGATTAGACCATGCTTCAAAGCACTCTTTCAACTAAAGTTGTTATTAGGACACATGGCTTCCCTTTGAGAAACTGTCACTCTTCTCCCCCAGATTATGTGGAGTTCTCTTCACGAAGGTCATGTTCGAAACCCTGTCTTATAGTTATGGCTTCCTTGTTCAGTGTCAAACTACATCACCAATGAGACTTTCAGGCCTTGGACCAGATCCAAGAGATTGTGCTGCTGATGGCACATTTTGTCACGTGGGAGGGCTAGGGAGCTAAATATGATTGGCTTAACCAGTTGGGATTAGGGGTCTGGAGGCCCTTTTTAGAAAGTTGCATAAAAATGTCTCCATTTTCATAAAGAAATGTCAAGATAGGCAGGCTTGTTTAATTCCCCTGATTAAAAGACTTTATTTCTGGAGAGAGAGAGACAGAGAGAGAGAGAGGAAATGGAGGCATGGAGGTGGAGAGTCGGGGGGGAGAAAAAGGGGAAAGAGAAAGTGAAGAGGAAAGGGGACAGAGCAGGGAAGAGCTTGGCCAGAAAGGCCTATAGACATCAGCTAAATTCAACTTCCCTCACCCTCAAGTTACAAACCCCACTGCTGTGGGGTTAGGCCAGAGCAGCTGGAAGGGTCCTAAATAACACAGTCCTGCCACCATGAAGAAAACTTGCTCCTGGTCATCCTACACTAAATGGTACCAATTAATAGCTCTGTTCGCATGCCACAAGCTGTCTTCCTTTTCTGGAAATTGCCTGATGGCCAAATCAACATAACAGCCAGCCAGCACAGAGACAAATTCATTGCCTAAATATGTCAACTCAGTCTGTTAACTAGGCTCCCAATAGAACCTAGGGCCTCTTTTTTTTTTGTGGTATGTGGGTCTCTCACTGTTGTGGCCTCTCCCATTGCGGAGCACAGGCTCCGGACGCGCAGGCTCAGCGGCCATGGCTCACAGGCCCAGCCGCTCCGCGGCACGTGGGATCCTCCTGGACCGGGGCACGAACCCATGTCTCCTGCATCGGCAGGCGGACTCTCAACCACTGTGCCACCAGGGAAGCCCGAACCTAGGGCCTCTTTGATAACATTCTGTAACGCAACTGTCAGGAATACTCCAAGCTTCAAGTCTTCTGTTAATTGTCACTAACACTAGTTTGAGGAGACTCTGAAATCCCAACAACAAAAAGGCAATAGTTATAATTATTTGGTTTGGAGTCCTGCACATTATCTAGCACATGCTTCTACTGAAAACTTTTTAGAATTAGTCTGTAAGGGTAGAGCTGCATATTACTTATAATAGGCCATCTTATTTCCTGCCTGTGTTTTCACCTTTTTTCTTCTCCACACTCATGCGAGTAGTCAGACCCAACTTCTCATGCTACAGAAGTAGAATGTGGTAGGAAAGAAAACAGAAATCTTAGAAAGGGTAATAGTCCACTTTACTGGGTTAGCTGGGAAGACTTTGGACTTGGAGGAGAAAAAAAGATCTTTCCAGCATACTTGCAGCTATGAACTGAGAGTCATGCCAACGAAGTGATGCTAAGAATCTTCTAGTTAAATATAAATACCTTGAAGACAAATGGCAACATTGACAACTGCAGGCCAAAATAGGATAAAGCTCATTAAAAATCTGGAGTGCAAAGGTGGGATTTACAGTAAGACAGCATTATTGATTTTGAGAATAATGGTGGATTATGATGAAAAATGAGTAAAAGATGAATTCAGAATGGTTTAGGATTTCTGCCCTGCCCTGCTCCTGCATCCATCAACTTTATTGCTAGGTAGGTACAGCGTTGTTAGTAGAAGAAAGGGAGAAGGAGTATAATCTTCTTAGAGATGGCTAATAACACTGAACTCTTTTCACGTCCCATGAAATACCTAGAAAGGCTGGGTAATGGATCCCTACCTTGCATTTTGAATTTCTGAAAGGTATAAACCAGTTCCAGGCATGGGAATGATGATTTTTTAGCAAAAACCAAGGCCCTACCCATTTGGGAAGCTGGCACCTGTGAGAGTAGACATTAAGATGAACTAGAGAAAATAAAGTAATATTTATTGGGTTTGGGACCTCGGATTCTTACATGAATACCAATGTAGGTATTCATCGTCTCATTTTTTCCCGATAAGCAGATAATAAAACAAATCTTCGTGGGATGAATTTTCAATCTCATGTCTCTAGGAAGAATTTCCCCCAATACTACATGGGGATGAAGGGGGAGTTTTCCATTAAATGCCCCACCCATAAGGCAGAAAGGTCATTTTTGTTTCTCCCATGCTAGCTCTCCTGCACGCTGATGGCCACCTTTATCTCCAGCATACAACGTGCACAGTTGGTTCACTAAAGCAGGGGAGTTTCAAGATGCAAACCAAATATAGGTAAAAGAAACTAGCCGGTCTTCCCTCATCCAACAATCTTGACAAAAATTTAAAATATTAAACAATACCTCTGGACCCTTGCATTCTTCCTTTATCTCTTGGACCCTTCATTTGAAACTCTTATCCTGGCACAAGAAGTGCCAGGAAGCTAGTCTATTTTTCGTGCACCCACAGGAGACTTCACTCACAACACATTATCTCTCCTGGTTCACTTGAGCATTCCTCCTTAATCCACAGTGATCTGAGAGGAAAGGGATACTTTTGTGCTGCTAGAAAGTCAAAGAACCAGACTATAAATTCCTCGGGGACTGTGTCTCGCAATATCCCCGTGCACAGCACAGGGTTTGGAACAGATTCATTACTCAACAAATGTTTGCTGAGTTAGCTGAACTGAATTAAGAAACACAAGCAAAAACTAGAGTCAGATTCAACGCATCATCTAGCTTAAGAGGACCAAGTATTGAAAGGTACTTTCTGTACCTTCTGTTCTTTCTGTAATCGAAGCTGGCGTATAAATCCTCTCCCTTTTAATGATCCTAACAAAACACCCTTTTACTGGGGAAGGACGGGTGTGCTGAGTACTCTGCTGTGGAAATGCTGGGCGGGGCATCTCTGGCCATGGCCTGAGAATGTATCTGCTATGCAGATTTATTATTTCAGGAAAAGGTGTACAGACACCAGCAGAGCCCCAGGTGGAAATGGGCACAACGCCATTCCTTTCATCTAATCAACTGCAGTTTCTTGTTTCAAGGCATGGAATACACCACGTTAATCTTGAGTCGCAGAATTTTTTTTTTTTTTTTTTTTTTTTTTGCGGTACATGGGCCTCTCACTGTTGTGGCCTCTCCCGTTGCAGAGCACAGGCTCAGGACGCGCAGGCTCAGCGGCCATGGCTCACGGGCCCAGCCGCTCCGTGGCATGTGGGATCTTCCCGGACCGGGGCACGAACCTGTGTCCCCTGCATCGGCAGGTGGACGCCCAACCACTGCACCACCAGGGAAGCCCCTGAGTCACAGAATTTTAAAATGCATTCAGGTCCTCTTGCTCCTCTCCCTTGGCTCCCATGTTTCTGTCCACATCAGGGCACCTGTTCTCCATTCTTTCAGTTCCCTCTGACTAGCTGTTCTCAACCCAGGGATCCTGTCACCATCTCCCTATACTCTCTCAAGAGAAGACTTTTAGGCCAGAATCTGACATTCAACCTGTTGGTAAATTCTCTGGTGGCATAAAGCCGTATGGCTAACGTGGGCCCTTCTCTTGTTCCTATCTATTATTTTCTGCCCTTATTTAAATGTTTACCTGAAATGCAAATTTCAATATTTTGGTATCTTAAACATCTCAACCTGTTTCCACAAGCTTGCTCACGTCGCCGAGTGTTATATTTGTTCTGGGATCTAGTGTTTAGTTTAAATCTCCCTTTGCTTACTGTGCTTTTGTGTCTCCTGGCAATATTCAGCTACCAGGCTAAATAATTTCTCATCCTCCTAAGTGTATGCACGTTTCAAACTCTTCACATAATTAACATATCGCCTCTTCGCCACCGTTTACTCAAGTTCTACATATTAGTTCTTTTAATATTTCTTCATAAGTCAGAAAGAAGGGCCTCGAGCTAGTGGCAAGAGGAAAGTGTTCTCTTCTGTGTTCCCTGATGTAGAGGCAAATCAGCCAGGAATAACGCCAATTAAAGTATGCCAGGTGCCACCTCCTGAGTGCAGTGCCTTCAGAGGACCGTGCTTTGATGAAACCTGTAGAGTTCACATCCAAGATGTCGATTTATTTAGATTTCCAAGGTTAACGAGGCATCTGGAAGCAAGCAGCCATTTGAAATTAAATACCTTTCCTTCGTGTCTCTCTCTCTCTTTGTCCCATTCTCTCCTTCTTCCTCCTCTCTCTCTCTCTCTCTCCCACTGCCGCCTCCTTCCCCCAACCACACGCATACATACAAACAGCTATTTATTTACATATAACCATTCACTCTAACTTTTAGGAAACAACATGTCAATTCACTAACACCCAAATATTTGCTCACTAAACACAGCAGGCTTATTATTGAAAATTCTCCAGGGTATGACATCCAACACCCTATTTGGAATTAAAAAAAAAAAAAAAGACTGCTATCCTAATAATCATTATGATATCTGTCTT